TTAATGGGGCAAATGACAGCAGGAGCCAAGAGAGGTTGACTAGGATCTGCTTTGATGGTGGAATATGTATCTGGTATTTGACAGGGAAGCCACGAGGAACAAAGTGACTTTTTGTTACTCAGTGGAATTTGACATTCACTTTGGAAAGATGAATTGAGCCTAGGTGCCGGATGCCCCAGAGACAAAGCACTTTTGAAAAGGTGACAGAAATCTCTAGAAAGGAGTGAGAAGAGGAGGACAACCTGGATGTTCCTGGGGACTTTGCATTGGAATTTTGTTTGAATACTTAAGGCCTGGGGTTTTATTTTTAAAAATCAAAGTTTCTATTGCTGAAAATCCATTTGTTCTCTAAATTCAGCCAGGTCAAAATTCAGGCTGAGATCCGTTTGATTCTTTTTTTTTTTTTTTTTTAAATCCTCCAGAAAAAAAAAGGTCAAAGAAATGTTTTGTTCAGGGATTTGACAAATTCATGAAAAGACTTTTGTGAAGTTTTAAAATACTCTGGCTGCTTCTGCTGCCTTAAGTAATGCTAGTGAATTAATATAATTTGAAAGAAACTATTTTTCAGTGAAGACCTAGAGAAAAATATCACTCACTTTAGTTTCTCCGAAGAAGCTATTAAAATGACATAGATCCTGCCTTTTGGCCTTTTAACAACTTTTAGAATCTTTGCCTTCACCTGTAAGTTATATGACTTGGATACTAGCAAAACCCAAAGAGCGTGCAGCACCTGAGAGTTACTGTGGATTCACAATCATGCTGACACCTATAGTGAATTATGATGTGAACAGGCAGCAAAACATCAGAAACTGAATGAATGACCAACCGCATGGCTTTTCAAGCAAAAGAACTCGGTTTGTTTCTTTGATCATGATTTGGTTTCATGAATATTGTGATTTTTAGCCTTAAAAAAATCTGTCTCCAAGTCTCAAATTCCGGAAGTTACCATATACTTCATCAAAGACTGTGCAATCATTTGCAAATAAATTCGTTCTCAAGCTTTAATGTGCCCGAGAATCAATTTGGACGTATGTCAGCATTCAGGCTCCTGGGCCTCTGTGAAGGAAGGCTCTAATTCAGTAGATCTGGGACAGAGTCCAAGAGCCTGCAGTGTACATGAGTACCGCTGACGACTTTCAGTTCAAGAGTCTGTTGATCTCTCCGTTTTCTGTTGCTGTGAAATGAATGACCAGAAACAGATTGCTTCGGCCTGAACATACTTATCATCTCACATTTTCTCTGGGTCAAGAGCCCAGGAGCAGCCTCGCCGGATCCTCTTCTTCGCAGGACTGGAATCTGGACTGCTATCTCATCCCGGAGGCGCTGCTTCCAAGCTCACTTGTGTCGTTGGCTGAGCTCATTCCCCTTTGGATATTTGATGGAGAAAACCGGGTGTCTGGGCTTCACCTTGGTGCTCAGGTTGTAAAGGTCACTTACAGCTCCCTCCCACGTGGTCCTCCCTGTAGTCAGTGCTCAACAGGGCAGTTCCTTTGCTACAGTCCAACAAGAGTCCCTTGGACCCAGTCACCATTTTAAGGGCATTCACTTCACTAAGCCAGGCTGACCTTGGATTAACCAAAGTAAAGGCAAAGTCGAGGGGCAGGGGAAAAGAGGAAGACACTTGTGATAGGTAGGTTTATTGTGGCGACCTGGCCAATAAGAACATGTGGGACTAATCAGGTCACAGTTTGATTGGAGGTCAAAAGGATAAATGGCTCTTCAAGGCCCTCCCCCCTCTCTCTTGCTCTCTGGCGATCAGAGCAAGCTGGGGCATGCTGCTGCTTTAGCTAGTTCTCTGCCCCAACCTGTGAGCTATACTACCTGTGGGCCAAACCAACCTGTGGGTCATGTTGCTAGAGCTTGAGGCTCCTTCGAGACCTGCTTTGCGATGCTGCTAGTGTGTACATCGCTTGAGCTTGAGGCTGGTGGATCCTGTTGCCTTGCATTTCTTGCGCTCGGTATCCCATCTGGGCCTGCCTGGCTAAGCTCCTGAGCTACTGACTGCTGCTGACCCACCCTGCTGTTTGTTGCCTGGGGGCAGACTCTGCCTGCCTTGCCAGAGGGAGGACTCCTCTGTCTGCTTCCTTGACCTTGGACCCAGCAGCCTATGTGAGTTGAAGGACTTCCAATAGATTACCCTGTTTCCCCGAAAATAAGACAGTGTCTTATATGAATTTTTGCTCCCAAAGATGTGCTAGGTCTTATTTTCAGGGGATGTCTTATTTTTTCATGAAGAAGAATACAGTACACATTTATTGTTTATTGTTTTATTAAAAGAGACCTTGCACTTCCTGTCTGCTCCGGCTGCGTTGTAGCCAACAGTGAGCTGCACGGTGGCACCCACCGCTATGGTCCAGAGTCCAGAGTTAACAGTAGTATGGGGGGGCCTTATTTTGGGGGAGGTCTTATTTTCAAGGGGGTGCCTTATATTTCAGCGAGAGGCAAAACTGTAAGTAGGTCTTATTTTGGGGGAATGTCTTACTTTCGGGGAAACAGGGTAACTGTTCCATGGAAGTGAGTTGAACTTAACCCACTGTACTGCTGTGTGGACTAATTACCTGTTATATTCCTTCTCGCTGTATAAAAATATCTATCTATCTATCTATCTATCTATCTATCTATCTATCTATCTATCTATCTATCTATCTATCTATCTATCTATCATCAGTGTCCTGGTTTTGTTTCTCTAGAGAACTCTGCCTAACACAACACTTGGCCATGCTTTAAATTCCTAGTGCTGTTGTAACAGAAATACCTCAAGTGGATGACCTTACTAAACAAAAAATTATTTTCTTACAGTTCTGGAGGCTAAAAGCCCAAATAAGTGTCTCCTGTTGATTCCTATCTTGTTTGGTGTTGCTGTCAGATGCCACCCAGTTGTTTCCGACTCCCAGAGATGCTATGTCGACCCAACAAAACAAAATACTGCCCAGTCCTGTGCCGTCCTCCCAATCGCTCTTATGTTTGAGTCCATTGTTGCAACCACTGTGTCAATCCATCTCATTGTAGGTCTTCCTCTTTTCCATTGCCCTTTATCCACTTTACCAAGCTTGATGTCCTGTTCTAGGGACTGGTCTCTCCTGACAACATGTTCAAAGTGCTTGAGACATTGAAGGTCCCCTACCCTCACTTCTAAGGAGCATTCTGGCTGCACCTCTTCTAAAATAGATTGGTTTGTTCTTTTGGCAGCTCAAGGTGCTTACAGTATTTCTCACCAGTGTGCCATAATTCAAATGCATTGCTTCTCCTTTGGTCCTTGGTCAATGTATATGAAGTGATTGAAAATACCATGAGTTGGGTCAGGTGCACCTTAGTCCTCCAAGTGACAGCCTTGGTCTTCCATACTTTAAAGAGGTCTTATGCAGCAGATTTACCCAATTCAATGAGTCATTTGATCTTGCCAACTTAAATCTTTTCTCCACTCATCATGATGTTACCTTTTGGGCAAGTTGTGAGGATTTTGGTTCTCCGTATATTAAATTGTAACTCATATTAAGGGCTGCAACCCTTGATATTCATCAGCAAACTCTTCCTGTCCCCCTCACTTTCAGCAAGGCTAGGTTGTTAATGCCCCTTCCCCCCATCCAGTGCTGTGTTCTTCTTCACGTAAGCCAGCTTCTTTGATGGTTTTCTGAGTGTACAGACTGAGTGAGTGTGGTGAGAGGATACAACCCTGACACACACCTTTCATGATTTTAAACCATGCAGTGTGCTCTTATTTTATTCAAACAACTGACTCTTGGTTCATGTACAGATTCTGCATGAGCACAAAAAGGTGTTCTGGTATTCCCATTCTTCTCAATGCTATCCACAATTGGTTATGATCCACACAGTTTAATGTCTTGACTGAGGCAAGAGAGCACAAATAAACATTTTTTCCCTGATAGTCTCTGCTTTCGGGTAAGGTCCATCTCACAGCAGCAATGATAGCTCTTGTTCCATGTCCTCTTCTGAATCCAGCTTGAATTTTGGGTAGCTCCCTATTGATGTATTACTGTAGCTGTTGTTGAGTGATCTTCAGAAAAAAATACTTACATATGATATTAATTATATTGTTTGATAATTTGTGCATTCTGTTGGACCAGCTTTCTTTGGCCTGGGTATAAATATGAACCCATTCCAGGGATGTTCTATATCTCTTGGCATAGGTGAGGGAGTGCTTCCAGTTCCTCATCAGCTTGTCGAAATATTTCATTCAATAGTCTGTCAATTCCTGGAGCCTTGTTTTTTGACTAATGCCTTCAGTACAGCTTGGATTTCTTCCTTCAGAACCATTGGTTCTTGCTTATATGCTACCTCTTAAAATGGTTAAATATCTATAGTTATTTTTGATACAGTGATTGTTTTCCTTCCATCTTCTTTGGATCCTTCTTGCATTCCTTGATATTTTCCTCACAGAATCTTTCAATATTGCAACTCGAGGCTTGGGTTATTTTTTCTTTAGCTCTTTCAGTTTAAGGTATGCGGAGCATGTTCTTCCTTTTCATGTTTCTAACTCTAGGTCTTCGCATGTTTCATTATATTTTACTTTGTCTTCTTGAGCTGACCTTTGAAATTTTCTGTTCATCTATTTTACTTCATCCTTTCTTTCATGTGCCTAAGCTACTTGATGATTAAGTGCAAGTTTCAGAGTGTCTTCTGAACCCCACTTTGATCTTGCCAGCAGCCACAGGTATTCCTTTATTTCTTTGAGAGCCTCACCTGGAATCTCTCTTCCCCTGTGAATTCATATCTCTGTGTCTAATGTGCTCTTTTTATTACTGAGAAGTGATTAGATTTAGGACCCATCGTACCTGGTATGTTCTATTTAACACAACCAAGGAAACCTATTTCCAAATAAGATTACATCCATAGGTGTAGGGGCTAGGACTCTAACACATATTTTTACTAGGGAAGGGGACAGCATTTAGTCCATGACATTATAGTTTTATTATATACGCATTGTATGTTGTCGGTTATTTACTAAATATAGACTAAAGCCACTTTCTTTCTTAAAGCAGCAGAGACCACACAGAGCCTGCCCTCAGCTCAGGTCCACGTGGTGCTCGCTCCAATACCAGAATTGGAAGTTGTGTCCACAATCCACCAGTGAGATCAACTTACACAGTGAGTGACGATTTTGCTTTATTGGTGATTCAACTTTTTGCCTACTATAAATGTGGGTTAATTCAAGAAGATATAACATGTCCCCAAATTGTATAGCTAGAAAAACAATAATTTCACATCAATGAGATGACTTGAGCCCAAATCACCATTTCCTCCAAGGTCCAAGACGGATCTTAGTCTGCTAAATTTCATGTGCTCCTGTGATGTCAGTTCACCTGTTGGCATCTGAGGCTGATCCACAATCCCAGCAGGCTAATCGTTGCATCAGTCAGAGTGGGAGGGAAGGAAATACATGCATGCAATGGGCACAGACTGTCACTAGACTCCTTCAGGTCACACTTGACATAGTTTACAGAGATGGCTGACCACAAAAGAAGTTCTATTTGGTTGACCAAGGAAAGGACCACCTTGGCACTTGTGTCAACCAAGATGGGTTGGGAAACTTGAAGAAGGGTCTTAATCAGGTGAAGGACCCTGGGGCTGATTGGATAAAGCAGTGGTTCCCAACATTCCTAATGCCACGACCCTTTAATACAGTTCCTCATATTGTGGTGACCCCCTGAACCATAAAATTATTTTCGTTGCTACTTCATCACTGTCATTTTGTTACTGTTGTGAATTGGGTTACTCCTGTGAAAGGGTTGTTCGATCCCCAAAGGGGTCGCGACCCACAGGCTGAGAACTGCTGGGATACAGCAAATTGGATGATTTGGGCCCCGCTCCTGGTCTGCATATGCTCTCAGGATTTTTATGGGCCAAATATGGCTGCCAGGAGGACAAAATGGCAGCATCTGCCTTTCCCCCTCGTGTTGGTGATGGATTGTTCATCAAAAAGACAAGCTGGCCCCATCAGAGCATTCGCAAGCTGGTTGATCTGGTTGAAACCTGTTTTCTCCCCCAGTCTCTGGTTTCTTTCTTCCTATAGGCTACCTCCAAAACCCAAACCAAATTTACTGCCATCAAGTCTATGCAGACTCATAGTGACCCTGTAGGACAGAGTGGAACTGCCCCTGTGGTTTTCTGAGACTAACTGTTTACGAGAGTAGAAAGCCCAGTCCACCCCACCCAAAGCCCACCACCCTCACTGAGTGGCTGGTGCTTCCAAATTGCTGACCTTGCAGTTAGCAGCCAAATGCGGAACAACTATCCCACCCTGGCTCCTATTCCCTCCCAGAACTGCTAAAAGGAAATACTACAAAGAAGGGAGTTAGCATTGTCATACGCAATCATGCCATCTAGCTAGGTTATGTCATTTTAGTCATCTGGTGGCATATTGGGTTATGCATTGGGCTTCTAACCTCAAGGTTAGCAGTTCAAAACCATCAGCCAATGGTGCAGGAAAAAGACAAAGCTTTCTGTTTCCATACTGAATTACAGTCTTGAAAACCCACAGGGGTAGTTCTAATCTGTTCTATGGGGTCACTATGAGTTGGAATCAACTCCATGACAGCGAGTTTTGTTTTTTTTTCTGTCTCAAGCAGAACATCTCTCCAAATTATTGACACTAAACCTCTACCTAAATTTTACAGCTGATAATTCATAGGATACAAAACCTCTGCCTAAATTTTACAGCTGATGGTCCCTGGGCAGCCCACACACTTTGTGCTCAGCTATGTACCCAAAGATTGGCAGTTCATCCTCACCAGGGATGCTTTGGGAGAAAGGCCTGGTGATCCACCTCCAGCAGAATTTCAGCAAGGAAAAGCTCTGGAACTCTGTTCTGTTCTGTAAAACGTGGAGTCGCCTGAGTTAGAATCAACTGGGGGGCAATATTTGTCCAAAAATCTAGATTATGTTTACTTTAAAATCTAGCTTAGTGTACCTTAATGTCCATGCATGTGAATCCAAAACTGTGATCAGAAGCATCTTAGAAAATTTATTTATATATTAAACAGCTATTATAATTAAGGCACAATTTTGTGGCTTCAAAAGAGGATATAAAAATTATAACAGAGGAAAGGAGAGAAACTAGCATTTATGAATGCCCTCTTATGCTTGGTAGTGATGGGCTATATCATTTAAGCTTCCTGATATTTGCTAAACAGTATAATTCATAATATTGACAATATGCATTATTATCAATAAAGATCCTCGTGGGAACTTTATGGGTTACCCTAATTGATAATTTGAGAATTTCAAAGAGGCAAGAAGTCAGTTGGCATTGAGTGATGACAATGAGTTTTTGAGAAAATCCAAAAGGGAACATGTAGTGCTTTGGGCCTATCAACCGTGGGGCACAACTCCCAGGCCTTCAGTAGTCTCCCAGGGCTGCCTAAACAAACCACCAACTAAATGGTGTGAACAAGACTCACTGCCATTGAATCGATTATGACTCATAGTCCCTGTAGCACAGAGTAGAATTGCCCATGTGTTTCTAAGACTTTAAATCTTCAGGGAAGTAAAAAGTCTTGTCTTTTTCCCATGGAACGGCCCAGGGTTTCAAACTATGGACCTTGTGGTTAGCAGTCAAACTCATAACCCACGATGCTACTAGGAAGATCAGTGAAAAAAAGCCCCTTGATGAGATTGATTGGGACAGTAGCTGCCACAATGGGGTCCATCATAATCATTGTGAGGATGGGGCAGTGTGTCGGTCTGTTGTAAACAGAGTTGCTATGAGTTGGAGCCAACTCAACAGCACTGAACAACAACAGGGGCACAAGACAACAGAAATAGATTTTCTCAGTTCTGTAGGACAGAAGTCCAAAATCAAGGTGTGGGAAAAGTTGGTGACATCTAGAGGTTCTGAACTCACTCACTCATTGCTATCATTGCCAGCTCATAGTGACCCTATACGACAGGACAGAACTGCCCCTCTGGGTGTCCTCACTGTAATTCTTTATGGGAGTAGAAAGCCTCATCTTTCTCTCACAGAGCAGCTGGTGGTCTTGAACTGCTGTCCTTGTAGTTTGCAGTTCAACATGTTACCCAGCATACCACCACACCTCCAGAGGGAGGCTCTCAATTCCTCTCTCCTATCTTCTGGTGGCTGAGGGCAATCCTTGGCATTCCTTATTTGTAGCATCATCACTTCAATCTCTACCTCTATCTTCACACAGCCTTCCCCCCTGCCTTTCTCTTTCTCTGCATAGTGTGTCTCAAATCTCCTTCTCCTTTCTTTTGTATTATAAAGCCATTTGCTATTCGATTTGTGGACTAAATTAAATCCACTAAATTGAGGATACTGATCGCTAGATCATTAACTCAATTATGTCTGAAAAGACCTTATTCCAAATGAGGCCACATTCTGAGGTTCCCAGTGGGCCAGTGTTTTGCATGTCATGATTCAATCTGTAATAGCCCCGTTTTAGGGAGAAGGCAATAGAATGGGGAGAGGGCAAGGAGAGCGTGCGAGAGCAAGTCCTGATTGGTCTGCCACCCGGGTCACCAAGTGAGGGGGTTGGAGAGGTGAAGGGCATATCTAGAAGGCAGCCAGAGACATCCAGTGCAGGGGGTTCAACCTGTCACATTGGAAACTCAGCAGGTTCCAGGCACAGGTTTGTATTCTCAACTAGCTGGGACTGAATTTGGTGCAATCAGGCTACCGTTGACTCAGAAATCCCAAGGCAGAATCCACTGTGATGGTTTCCGTGAAATCTTATTGCATTTTGACATTATGCTTCATAATTCTCATTCCGGTTCTCATGCCGGAATAGTCAATTTCCCATGTGAAGAGCTCTTTTGTTACTCACCAGATGGGTTTGGAGCAAAGGCTGTGTGTCAAATATTCCACTACGCACTGGCACATGTCACAATGCAGTCAGCGGAGATTAGGGCTCTGCTCATTTCCACACATGGTGTTAAGTAACATGATATAGTGTGGGCTCATCATCTACTACCTGCAAGTACCTTGTCTTTACTCAGATGGCATGATGATCATGTAGAAGGTGTGATGCACGTAACTCAATTATATCTGCAAAGACCTTAGTCCAAATAAGGGCACATTCTGAGGTTCCAAGCAGACATATATTGACATCAGCATTTATTGATTGAATGAATAAATCTCAATTATTACACTTCTGCACTAGAATTCAATCATGTAATAGTAGAACCAAAAGAAGCTTTCATCAACCCGTCCATTTTTATTTCACAAAGGTGGAAAAGAAGCCACGCCTCTGCTGTATTTTTAGGGACACACATTATGATGGGCCCTTCCACAGTGGTTTATGACATCTCATAAGACATAGTTTGAATAAATGGTTTTTCAATTGTTTTCCATCTATTTTAATTCAGGTAATGCTTTTTAAAAATGGCCCATAGATAATATTTTAATAGTTGCTTTTTTTTTTTAACGATTCAGGTTATCCCTTTAAAGTATTCTGGACAATTTAGATGGAACAATTTAGACAAACACTCCCGGTTTTATGTTGGGAACGAGGGACTTTTGGCTCTCGGTGAGGATGTGCAGCAGGAGTAGTAGGAATGATGGCTGGTTGGTGAAGATGAGATGAAGAACTTCCATGGACCTTTGAAAGGAAGAGAATGAGCCCTTTTCCAGGAAGCTACTGTGAGCAATGCAAACAAGCTGAGGAGACCCATGGAAACAATAGGGGAATTCTTCTCCTTGTTCAGCAATGTAGAATTGACCCATGGTTTTAATTTTGAGAAACCAAAGCATGGTCAAGGTTGACAATCCTTTCTCTTATGGCCACACATCACGGCTTCTGATTTTCCGATACAAATGGATTGTCCGTGTAGCAAATGACTTAAGGAGGCCTAAGTTGTTTCTTTATACATTTGTTAAAATTGATAAATTTGGCCTCTTGTTGGCTCTGGAGGTGTTTATTGAATTCAAAGATATCAAAATAAAATGCTTGAATATTTCAATCTCCTGGCAAAATGTTTCCTCTGTTTCTTTTGGTTTACTGTTAAAGCCACCATTGGTGGCCACAGTAATTACAATAATAACTAGAGTTATTCATCGCAATTAAAAGCACAGACAGATAAGAGTTCAGTGCATAATACTAAAAAATACAAAAATACCTTCCTTGAGTTAAAGTGGACATCATTATCTTGGCTTCATTATATGATTAATTAAAAGTGCTGATCTGTATGGTTTAAAAATCAGGAGTGGTGACATCGAGGTTATATCCTGTCACCATCCTATTCCAATAATCCAAGAAACCGGATTATGCGAAAAGGAACATGGCATCAGGATTGGGGGAAGACTCGTTAACATTCAGTTATCATATACAAATGATATCCTTGCTTGCTGTAAAAGAACAGGACTGGCAGCACTTATTCACGAAGATCAAAGACTACATCCTTCAGTATGGATCACATCTCAACATGAAGAAAACAAGAGTCCCCACAGCTAGCCTAATAAGCAACATCATGATAAGCCGAGAAAAGACTGAGGCTGTCAAGCATTTCATTTAACTTGGATCCACAATCAATGCCCATGGAAGCAGCAGTCAAGAAATCAAATTCTATATTGCCTTGGGCAAACCGACTGCAAAAGGCCTCCTCAAAGTGAAAAAGCAAAAGATGGCACCTTGAAGACTAAGGTGCATCTAACTCAAGGCACGATGTTTTCAATCACCTCATATATGTGTGAAAGCTAGATGATGAGTAAGCCTGGAGAAGAATCAACGCATTTGAATCATGGTGCTGGCGCAGAATATCGAAGATACCGTGGACTGCCAGAAGAGCAAACACATTTATCCTGGAAAAAGGACAGCCAGGTGCTCCTTGGAAGTAAACGTGGGGAGGCTTTGTCTCATGTACTGTTATCAGAAGGGACCAGCCCTTGACGAAGACATTGTGCTTGTTGAAGTGGAGGGGCAGCAAAAAAGATGGGCGCCCCTCCGTGAGATGGATTGAGAGTGGCTGCCCAGTGGGCTAAATATAGCAACATCACCTTTGTGAGGATGATGCAAGACCGGACAGTGTTTCCTTCTGTTGTTCACAGAATCACTATGGGTCACAGCTGGACCAGGACCCAACAATAACAACCCCAAACCAGACTCAGTGCCATTGAGTCAATGCTGACTCACAGTGCCCTAATAGGACCCCGTGGGTTTCTGAGGCTATGAGTCTTGACAGGAGTCGAAAGTCTCACCTTTCTCTTGAACAATCACAACAGTGCCTAGGCTATTGATCTGGATGTGCTGCATTTCTATTTTTCACCACTTCCAATATTATTCGATTCATAGTTCGTGCATTCCATATTCCAATGATTGTTGGATATCGGTGGCTGTTTCATCTCAGGTTTAGTGTGTTACATCACGAAGGTCCTGAGAACTTGAATCCACCCACCTGGTTAAGGTAGACTCTGCTTTGAGGAGGCAGTTCTTTCACGCCCCCCACCCCAACCCCCAGGGGCTCATCTTTTGGCACTGTTGTGTTCATCAGATTTTTCACTGGCCGTATTTTTCTTTTTTTTAATCGTTTTATTAGGGGCTCATACGACTCTTATCACAATCCATACACACATCAATGTGTAAAGCGCATTTGTACATTCATTGCCCTCATCATTCTCAAAACATTTCCTCTCCACTTAAACCCCCAGCATTAGGTCCTTATTTTCCCCCTCCCTCCCCGCTCCCCCCTCCCTCATGAACCCTTGATAATTTATAAATCATTATTTTGTCATATCTTGCCCTGTCCGACGTCTCCCTTCACCCACTTTTCTGTTGTCCGTCCCCCAGGGAGGAGGTCACATATAGTTCCTTGTAATCGGTTCCCTCTTTCCAACCCACTCTCCCTCTACCCTCCCAGTATCGCCACTCACACCACTGGTCCTGAAGGAATCATCTGCCCTGGATTCCCTGTATTTTCAGTTCCTATCTGTACCAGTGTACATCCTCTGGTCTAGCCAGACTTGCAAGATAGAATTCGTGTCATGATAGTGGGAGCGGGGAGGAAACATTTAGGAACTAGAGGAAAGTTGTATTTTTCATCGTTGCTACATCGCACCCTGACTGGCTCGTCTCCTCCCCGAGACCCCTCTGCAAGGGGATCTCCAGTGGCCTACTCATGGGCTTTGGGTCTCCACTCCGCACTCCCCCCATCATTCACTATGCTGGCCGTATTTTTCAAAAGTAGATCGCCAGCTGCCCCTTCCTCTCTCTCTTAGTCGGGGAAGCCCCACTGAAACCAGTCCACCAAGGAATACCTGGCGCTATTTGAAATGCCAGCGTGTCAATGTCAATGTCACAGCAACACGGAAGCCACTGCAGTATATCAAACTGACAGACACTCCGTGTGTGTGTGTTGGGGGGGGGGGGTGCATTGGAAGTTTCAAAACGTAAATTCACTGGGTTCAAAAACTAAGTAACGAGGTGCCGTCAGGACATAGTTGGTGGTCTGACATGCAGGTGAGGCTGGAGACCCAATGAAGAACACGGAGCAGCGGTGCAGCGGGATGCCAGCGTTGTTGAAGAGTACTGAGAGTGCCACGGCTGCCAGAGACGCAGCCGGTGATAAAGCGCCATCGCACGGACAGGTCGCCTGGAGAGGCCAGTCCCCGGAAAAGGACATCAGTTGGGTGGGGGGCCAGGAAAACATCTCGGACTGGGCTGCAGACAATGGGCCCCGGCAGAACAACTGTGAGGCGGTGAGGACGGGCAGGGAGTTGCTCGGTGGCCTGTAGCGCGGTGTGCGACACTGAACAACGAGGAGCCGTTTCCTTTCTTTCCTTTTAAAATCGTTTTATTGGAGGCTCTTACAGCGCTCCTAACATTCCTTACATCAATCGTGTCAAGCTTATGTGAACACATGTTGCCATCATCATTTTCTGAACATTTACCGTACTTTCTATTTTTCCCTCCCTTCCCCGCCCTCCCACCCTCCAACCCCTGTCCCCCTTCATCCCTGTTTCTGCTGTTCATCCCCCCGCCAGGGGTGGGTGGGCGTGGTTATGCATCCATCATTACAATCGGTTCCTCTTTCCTCCCCTCCTCCCCCCACCTCCCCTTCTGGTATCACTGCTCCCTTTCTGTTCCTGAGGGGCTTATCTGACCTGGATTCCGAGTGTTGTGAGCTCTTATCTGTACTAACGTACATGCTCTGGTCTGGCCAGAATTGAAAGGCAGGACTGGGGTCATGATAGTGGGAGTGAGGAAGCCTCAAAGAACCAGAGGAATATTGTGTTTCATCAGTGCTATACTCCACCCTGGTTGACTCCTCCCTTCCTTGTGACCCTTCTGTGAGGGGATGTCCCATTGTCTACAAATGGGTTTGGGTCTCTGCAACCCCCCTTGTTCTCAACAATCTTTCTGTTTGTTTGTTTTGGGTTTTCTGGTGCCTGTTACCTGGTTCCATTGACATCTCATGACCACACAGGCTGGTGTGCTTTTTCCAGGTGGGTTTGTTGATTCTATGCTAGATGGCTGCTTGTTTAACGTCAAGCCTTTAAGACCCCAGACACTATATATTTTGATAGCCGGGCACCATCAGCTTTCTTCATCACATTTGTTTATGCACCCATTTTTTCTTCAGCGATTATGTTGGGAGGGTGAGCATCACAGAATGCAAGTTGTTAGAACAAAGTGTTCTGTGTTGAGAGACGGTTTGAGCAGAGGCCCAAAGTCCATCCACTTCCTTGATGTATTGCCATATAAGTGTAGGTACATAGGCCAATCCCTCTATTTTTATGAATACATTCACCTGAGTGCACACCTATGTTTATACATCTTTCCATAGCTCTGCTACCTAGATCTTTCCTCTGTTTCCTTTTCACTTCCTCCTGAAGGGACCATTCTCTAAAGAAGAATCCGTTCTCACTCAAACATGCACGGGATTTTTACAGATGGCCGTTCTGGAGTCACCCCTCTGATAGAGTCACACGGTGCTCCTCAACACGGAGCCCTGGGGCCTAGTGGTTACATGTAGGGATGCTAACTGCAAGGTCGGCAGCACCTCGGGAGAAAGATGGGACTTTCTACCTCTGTGCAGAGCTACAGTCTCTGAACCTCACAGAGGCAGTGCGACCCTGTCCTGTGGGGTTGCTGGGGACTCGATGACAGTGAGGGTCAGAGCACGCCCCTACTGACACCACTGCATGCAGGACACACCTGGCTCGTGTGTGTGTGTGTGTGTGTATGTGTGTGTGTGTGTTCTTGGAGTTGTCTGTGCTAGTGTGTAAGTCCTAAAACAATGGGAGAGCGTAACCCTCCACGTCTTGCCATCCCTAGCCGTATTCTTTGATCCTATTATTTGATGTTTTTGTCCTTCTCAGACCCCAGCAGGCCATGAACAGACCTCTGACACACAGGCCAGCAGGGTCCCTGCACAACTGTGCCTTGCCCAGAATGGTCCCATGTCCTTCCTGTCCCCTCCTCCACCTCTGGGACCCCCTCCCCAGTGCTCCAGCACCCTAAGCCCAAGATGCCAGACATTCTGTGTCCCCTCTCAGGAGCTGGGGCAGCTCGGATTGGGGCCTGTTAGGGGGAGGGCCTGCTTACTGGGCTTTCTTCTTCCATTTTTCTGGAGTCCCCGACGCTGAGCAGTTCAGTGAGTGTCCCAGGGGGAGAGGACTACTCTCCAGGCTCTGTGCCCTGCTTTGTCCTCTCACCCCCATACAACCTCCTGTCCTCCCCAGCAAGCTGAGCATAGCGCATGGTCACCCTGGGAGCAGGAAATGACCTAGTCCTTTCACTACCATGTCTTCTGAGATCTTCCCGAAGGACAGAGTGTGGGAGTGTACATGTGTGTGAGAGTGTGAGCGTCTGACTGCATGTGTGCAAGTGTATGAGCGTTTAAATGTGTAAGGATGTGTCTGTGTGTGTATAAGTGCGCATGCGCGCGTGTTTGAACAGACACTCCCTAGCTCAGGACACAGCGGACAGCCAGAGAAGCAGCAGAAGCAGTGGCTGCTAATGGACAACGTATAGCCGGACTTCCTGGGGCCCTTCTGCCCCGTCCTGACTGCAGAGGACAGGAAGGGTGGAGGGGATCCTGGTGGGCTTCCTCCCTTGTGACGTCCATCTTCCTCCGGTCGGCCCACTTCCGTTCCTCATGGACAATGTTTCTCACCAGACCTGGGCTGGAAAGGAGGGCAGGACAAGCAGAAGGGCCCAGGTGGCCACACCCTTCCCCTGGAGGGAGGGGATATGGGCCTATCACTGGCGGACAAGTCTGTCCCTAAAGGTGGAGGTGCTGGAGGGGCGCTGGGTGAGGACCCCGGAGGGGGTACAGCATGAGTGGCCGCCCTAGGGAGAAGCCTGTCCCCTAGAGAGAAGTCCAGGGCGGCCGAGGGACTTGCCCCTTTAAAAGCGCAGGAGGGGACTTTGGGGACTCTTGTTCTTCACCCACTCCGCCCCTCCCCCTCCAAACGGCTCCTTCTCTGAGTGGAGGCACACAGGCGGGTGGGCTATCTCCGCCACTCTGCGACCTGACCAAGGCTGGTCCCTGCAGGCCCCACAGGGAAGACAGGGATCTCTGGAGGGCAAGGGGCAAGGGTCGCTGTATGGGGGGTGGGGGAGGGAAGGGGGTTGTCCCCAGGCCCCCAGCCCCGCCCACCCTCATGTGCGGATCCCAAGCCACAGCCGAGGTCATTGGCCTCAGGTTGCTGGTGGCCCTGCTGTGCTGGGGGTGCTGTGAGTGGCCAGGGTGGGGTGTGAGTGTGGGTAGGGTGGGGGCGGGACAAGGGGAGGGGGCGGCGAGTGCAAGGGGTGAGAACCTCTAGGGCAAGAGGGGAGATCCCCCACCCCTTCCCCCACCGGCAGTGGGCCAGAGGCCTTTTACAGTGAGAGGAGGGAGGGACCGGTCCCTCAGGGGCTGGGAGCGCTGCCTGGACCTGGCCTGCTCTTCTTCACCCCGTAGCCCTGGGCCTGACCTGCAAGGATTGTTTGTACTTCCTGGGGGAACCAGTGGATTGCAAGGCTAAAGGCTGTCTCATGGAGGCTCACAGCTGCATTTCCTTTGCCATCAGTGGGACTATCAATGGTGAGCTGGCCTGGAGTCCAGAGTCCCTAAGCATATGAGGGGGGGTGGGGCGCAAGTGTACCAGGGCCCTGCCCCCCATCCCCTCACAGCCTGGTGAGAGCCCTGGGGACAGAGCTGAGGGACCCTGGTGCGACACTCCACCCCCACCCCACTCCTGTGCTGCTTCAGTGCCCCCAGACCGTCTGGGGAGGGTCCTGAGGCTGGGAGAGAAGGCTGTCTGTGGGAGGGAGGGACCTCTGCAGGGCTGAGAAGCTGCCCTCCTCTCTTGCCGCAGGGAAGAACGCCACGTACATGGGCAAGGGCTGTGAGCTGACCTGCGCCAAGTTTCTGCAGGAAATCCGGAAGGATGTGGTCGTGGGGTCTGTACTCACGATCGAAAAGGATGATCATGCGTTTGGCTTGAAGGTCCATCACGTGGACACCCACTGCTGTAACAAGAGCCTGTGCAATGGGATGCCCCACTCTCGGGCCCTGCCCCGGGGGCTTTGGCTCAGCTTGGGGTCTGCCCTCCTCTGGGCCCTGCCATGACCTCTTACCGGACTGTGCTTCCAGTGCCTGACTCCCAGGTCCTTCCTGACGTGGGTGGGGGCAGGTGGTGGTGATCCCAGCTCTCCTGGGCACCCACCGCTGCGCTCCAGCCATAGCGGCTGCCTGCCCTCGGCCCCACTTGTTCCTGTCCCTCCCATTATTAAATGTTTCCCCAAAGGACTCGGCGGTTCTCTCTCTCTTTTTTTTTTTTTTTCCAATTCACCTGTATTATCTTTAAAAAAAAAATCAATTTATTGGGGCTCATACAATTCATCACAATACATACATCAATTGTGTAAAGCACATCTATACATTTGTTGCCCTCATTATTCCCAAAATTCGCTTTCCTCTTGGGTTCCCGGAATCAGCTCATTTTCCTCCCCCCCCCTCCCCCATGAACCCTTGATAATTTATAAATTATTATTATATCTTATATTACACTGCCCGGCGGCATCTCCCTTCACCCACCCCTCTGCTGCCCGTCTCCCAGAGAGGAGGTTATATGTAGCTCCCTGTGATCAATTCCCCCTTTCTACACCCCCCATTCCCTCCTGGTATCGCCACTGTCACCCCTGGTCCTGAGTGGTTCATCTGTCCTAGATTCCCTGCGTTTCCAATAGACTCATCCAGAAAATGCTCCTAAAGGTCAACAAACGACCTTGATCTACTAACAGGCTTTTTTTTTCTTTTTCTTTTTTCTTCTCTTTTCGTTTTCATTTTTTCTCAGCCTATCTGTTTGTTTTTTTCTCTTTTTTTCTCTTCTTTTAAATTTTGTGTGTCAGTGGCTTTTTGTTTGTTGGCTTGTCAGTGCTGCAGCCGTCGTCACCAGGTTCTTATGAGCCGCTTTGGCGCTGTGCTGTCAAAGCCAATCCCAATTTTATTCACACATTGTTATATCTGCACACCCACCTAGATAAGAGAAGTTGGACCAAAAAAAATATGAGAAGAAAATAAAGGGACCGATGGCCCCGGAGGGACATGGGAGTGTGGGAGGTAGGGGAAGGGAGGAGGGTTGGCCAACCTAGGGACAAGGGAACAACAAATGGTTCAAAACCAATGGTGGAGAAGGGATGGGAGGACTGGTAGGGAGGCAAGGCAACAGCGAGGAACTATTGGCGGTTCTCTTTTATGTTATTTCCCCAGAGGCTGGGCCCGAAGAAGCACTGCCCTTCCAGCAGGCTCTACCAGGTAAGGTCAGGCCTCACCAAGGCGTTCACAGCCTCATGGGGCCCAGCAGACTACAGCGTGGGCCTCCCGGGGGAGGGGCCCCGTGGCAGCCCCAGCCGTGGACTTAGTCCCAGTTTCCCTGGGTCTCTTAATGCAGCCCTGAAGGCAAACCGATGGCCGCCCCACCTATCCTCCAATCCCTGAAACATGTCCTCCACCCTCCAGTCAAGGGTCTGGTCCCATTTTGGACACTGGAAACGTGGTCCCTCCTCTTTTGTCACCCTTTCCCAGGGTTCCCAAGAGCCCCAGTGACTCACAGACCTGGTCACTTATCACGTGCCCTTGTTAGGCACAGGGGAATTGGTCCTGACTCAGAGGGACCCCGCAGAGCAGACGCAGAACACCGCCGAGTCCTGCGCCATCCTCACAGTGGTTGGTGTATTTGAGCCCATTGTCACCTGTGTCAGTCCCTCTCGTGGAGAGTCTTCCTCTTTGGGCCTCCTTCTACTTTACAAAGATGCTGGCCTTCTCCAGGGACGGACCCCTCCGGGTAAGAGGCCCAAAGAACCCGAGACGGAGTGTCGACATCCTCGCTTCTAAGAAGCATTCTGGCTGTACGTCTTCCCAGACAGACCTGTCTGTTTCCCTGGCAACCCATGGGGACGCGGCAATATCATCATCTTCTTCGCCAACACCACCATCCAAACACAACGAGTCTCCTCTAGTCTGCCTTTGTCCCGGTCCGGGCCCCACAGGCACGTGAGGCGGTGAGACATCGTCACTGGTCGGGTGCACCTTCGCCCTCAGGAGGACGTTTCTCCTTCTCAACATTTTAAACACGTCTTTGCAGCAGATTTGTCCAAGGCGGCTTCCATGGGCAGGGATGGCGGAGCCAAGTGACATGTACTCCTTGACCTCTTTAGTCTTCCTCGGTTGGTGTCATTGTGAGGAATCTTGCTTTCTTTCTATTGAGGGGAAATCGGTAGGAGACCGGAGTCTTGGCTCTGCATCATGAAGGCCTCTTGGCTTTCCGCGGCCACAGTTGTGTCATCCACAGGCCATGGCTCTGGGATACAGGAAGCAGGAAGGAGGAGAAACCCCAGGACCATGGAGAACGATGAGCGGGGGGAGGCGAGAGAGAGACCCCTGCCTGAAGGGACAGAGGCACCAGAGTCTCACGAGGTCATGAGACCGGCTGGGGAGCCATGCCGAGACCAGGAAGCCAGCAGAGGCCAGGCGTGAAGCACAGCAGAGAGTGAGCTTCCAGGCCCAGGGAGGGAGGCCAGGGGACCAGGTGCCTGGGAGGCTGAGGGCCAGAGACAGACATGCCTGCTAGCAGGGCTGAGAAGAGGCTTTGGCTTTGCAGACAAAAGAACCATATCCGTACCATCTGTAACCTGTTAGCTTCCCCAATGACACCCCGACCCCCAAATATTGTGAGCACTGTCACGGAGCTCAGCATGGGCACTGCATTCAATTATCTAACCCAGCAGAGAAGTCGGGGACTGAAGGTTGGTGTCAGAACAGGATAATGAAAGATGGAAGGTGGAGGCCTGGGTGACCTCTGTCTTGTGCCAAACGCCTCGGGCTGGTGTGGAGATGGATTCTCCTCCTGCCTCCTGATGCTGGAGGAGGTCCGACATGGCTCCCACAGCATTTCCTCAGGTAATGACGACGGCTCTGCCCGGAGCCCATTCCCCACTGCTGTTGAGTCGATCCAACTCACAGCGACTCTAGAGGATGGAGTCGAACTACGCTATAGTTTCTGAGACTAAATCTCGATGGGCGGCAGACATTTCAAAGGTCCAAAGAGGAAATTAGCATCGAGCGTCCGCCTTGTAGGATACTGATACATGCACGTTCGGTCACTGCCATGAGTCGGAACGGCCCCGATGGCGTCTAACGAGGGCAAGCTGGGTTCACAGAAACATGCTTTTGTTATCACTTCAGAGGTATTTTTCTTAAAAATAATAAATTTCTGCTGAAACACTGCACAATAAAGGTGATGGCCATTGGAGTGTCATCCCCTGTGGCAGCGCTAGGCGGTCTCCCTGCCACTGGCTGCTGTGACTTGAAGGAAAAGACGTGGACAGGAGAAAAGCAGGTCATTTTGGGGGAAGGAATGTTGCACAGAATCGCCCAGACGAGCTTCTTTCTCTCCCCAAGGTGAGGGCGATGCCCAGAGATAAATAGGACTGGAAAGACGCACCACGATGGACTGGACAGAAAACGCTTGGTGGACCATCGGCATGTGTGCATCTGCAAGTGACCGCAGACCCAAGTCCGAAGGAGTGAAATGACCAGAAGATTTACTGTCCTTCCTGACAGGACATTCTGCTGAGAGTGTTTTCAGGGCTGGTTAATGCAAGGACTCGAACCATCAGGGCCCCGAGCTCTTCCCCCCACCCCCTCTGCCATGTTCAGCTCGCTGGCGTTCGTCTTCTGGCTTTACCCCTCCTGGATCCAAGATGTGATGATGATCCATGATGGTGCCATAGCAGCGGCAATTCCCACATCCCTACCTCACACTGTCTTTCCTTTCCTTCTGTTTTCAGCACGATAATTCATACACATTTTATTTCATGCCATTAATTGCAATTTCCATAATGTGATATTGTTTGCCCCAACCTGTATTTCCTGTTTCTGTTCCATCTTTTCCTAAACGCTGCCCCTCTGATCTCAAGTGGTTGGTTTTTCTAAGGTGTGTACCCCTCACTACTGTTATTATCCCCAGAATCCAGGACAGATCATGAGAGTAGAGATACCAGGAGGGGAAGGGGAAGGTGAGAGGACAAAAGGGAGAACCGATCACAAGGATCAACATATAACCCCCTGCCAGGGGGATGGACAACAGAAAACTGGGTGAAGGGAGACATTGGTCAGTGTAAGACGAGAAAAAATAATAATTTCTAAATTATCAAGGGCTGAGGGATGGAGGGAGGGGAGCTGATACCAAGGGCTCAGGTAGAAAGAAAATGTTTTGAAAATGTTGATGGCAACAAATATACAAATGTGCTTGACACAATGGATGGATGTTGAGTTGCATGAACCCCCAATAAAGTGCTTAAAAAATAAAAAGGAATGGAAAACACATGGAAGCTGTGTGGAACATCAGTCTCCACCAGACCTTGAGACCGGAGAGCTAGCTGGTATCCCAATACCACTACCAACTGTTCTGAAAGGGATCCCGTTAGAAGGTCTTGGACAGAGCGCGAGAATAAAACTTTAAAACATCAACAGCATCAAAAAAGACACTGTCTTTTCTTAAGAGTTAAGACGCCTTTTCTAGAACCCTTAGACCCCCAAGAGGTTTCTCAGCATCTTAGACTGGGTCACAAAGCCCACCTTCGGCCAAGCAATGGGTGAAAGACTGAGACCACTGCGACAAGTTCGGACCAGTTGGGAAGGGGATATTGGTGGCTCAGTGGTAGAATTCACACCTCTGTGTAGGAGAAGGGGATTCAATTCCTTGCTGCTGATGCACTTCATCAGCCACCCATCTGTCAGGGGAGGCTTATGTACCTACCACCAGGGGGTTAACCAAAAAGAACTAGTCCACCTTCCACCAGATCAAGCATTAGCCTATCAACAACAACCAATGGCGGTAAAGGAAGACATTCAAGCGGCACTGAAGGCATTCACCAAAAGGCCCCAGGAATTTTTGAAATGCCCATTGAAATGTTTCAACAAGCTGGTGACGCACTGGAAACACTCATCTCTGCCAGGCAATTGGGAAGACAGGCAGTGGCCAGCTGACTGGAAAAGGTCCATCTATGGTGCTGGAGAAGACTATCGAACGAACCATGGACGGAGAAAAGGACAAACCCATCTGT